AGACAAAAAGCACAGCTGTATGAATCTATTAATGGGGAATGTGCACAGTTGGAAAATCCATAGAAGCAGAGAACAGATTTTTAGGTTGTCAGAGGCTGAAGGAGAAAGAAATGAGAGCTGGCTGCTAGTGATGTGTTTTGATTTTGCTCTTGTTTTTTTTTTTTTTGGTGTTTCTTTTAGAGCAATAAAAATATTTCTGCGTTATATAGTATTCATTGATGAATGTGTAAGTTGGTAACTATATTAAAATCAAGTGATGAGTTCACTTTTAAAGGATGAACTTTATGGATTGTAACTCAATTTTTAGAAAATCAAGGTTTGGAGCTGTTTCTCCATGGGTTTCCATGTGCAAGACAAGCAGCCTGGGCTGGATTTACTACTGCAGAAGAGGAGCTGTGTCTTCGAGTTTCATGAAAGTTCATCAATAAGGAAAGCATCCTGGGGCAGATGCTTCTTACATGACAAAGGAAATGTGAAGTTGGGAACTTTTCCCTGGGAGTAAACTGTAGAGAGAAGGGACCATGTAACTCCCTCTATCAGGGACCAGTGGGGACTCTGTTGTAATATACACAGATGCTGTGATTGACTGCTTTCTCCCAAGATGTTGAGAGGATGTGTCTTCTGTTGACCAACTCTAAAGGACACTCTATTTCCAGATGAGCTCATTGTATATAGGGATGGAACTCACATAGACAAGTGACATGGAGAGTCACATTTGCCTACATTTTCTTCCTCAAATACCAGATGTCTCAACCCAGCATTTGGCAAGTATTAGCAGACAGTCTAAATTCTTATTCGTATTGTTGATTCAATAAATGTCCATATGTTTTTGATACTGGACCTGTAGGCTGTAAACTTAATATACTGCCAAGAGTATTTAGGAAACTTGATTTATACCTTTGTTTATCTAGACAGCCATCATCCTTACAGACTAGGGTGAACTCTGGAAACATCTACAGATGAGGAAAAAGAACTTGAGATTCAACAAAGGACATGAATCTTCTCATTCAAATAAGTACTCAGTGGAGAGCTTAGCATGTGTGCTATAGGACAAAGTAGGGATAATTTGGGTCTGAAGAGAGCATTTGCATTTTTAACCAACTTCCTCTAGCATAGAAGTATATCAGTGGAATCCTTCACAAGGCCTCACATAATATGAGGCCCATAAGCAGATACTCCAAAACAAAAAGGGGTCAGACTAAAGGAAGATATTATTAGAGGAGGAACCCAAAGGTGTAACTCCTCTGAACATTTAAAACAAATTCCAGGATATGGGAACAAGAGATTTTGTTATTGTTGTTTGAGGTGGAGGTGATTGGTTTTGCTTTGGGGTTTTGTTTTGTTTTGTCTCTTTGGGATGAATGGGAGGCTTAAAAAGGGAGGGAGGAAGGATAAGCAAATGCAATCATGGTATTCAGTATATACTATGTGGGAAATAAACTATACAACTTGTGAGCAGGGATTGGAGGGTGAAACTGGGGAAAAGAGAAGGAAGGGGTAACATTGTCCAATGTTCCCAACATTGACTTATGAAATGGTAACCCTTCTGTACAACATCTTAATAATGACCATAAATTTATATTTTACAAAGGGATACTGAAGAATTATTCCAGGATTGCACTTAGTCTGTTAAAGCTTAAAAGTTGCTTTTAAAGTTTTTAATGAAGAAATAAGCTTAAAAGGGGCTGGGAAGGTGGCCCAAAGGTAGAGCGCTTGCCTTGCGTGCATGGGGCCCTGGGTTCGATTCCTCAGCACCATATAAGCAAAAAGAGAAAAGCTTGAAGTGGTGCTGTGGTTCAAATGGTAGAGCACTAGCCTTGAGCTGAGGAGCTGAGGGACAGCGCCCAGGCCCAGAGTTCAGGCCCCACGACCGGACCCCTCCCAAAAAAGAAATAAGCTTAAAAGCATAAAGTCAAATCTGTATAGTAGATATTCTGGAAATTAAGAAGGAAAGCCATCTGCTCACTGTCAGTTGAAGTATAGACCAATTGTGGCCAGGCTGACTCTTCTGTTAAGGACATAGAAATATTGCAAAGGTAGGGGGTTAGAGTGGTTTGTTTTGAAGCATCAGTGTGGAATTGTGGATTAGAAGCCCAGCAGCTTATTTCCTGAGACTCTGGTAAAGAGTGGTATCCTAAGCAGTCCATCCCCACAGCAGTAATTTGGTCTCTTTTACCCATTGTCATCATTCTTAGTTGTGTATAGCTGTACAGATATTTGTCAATGCACGAACAACTCAAACTGTCAAAACTTGAAGACAACAAAGTACAAAAGTACTAGTACTTATTTCTTTAAAAGTCTAACATTATTCATCCGTCCATTTTTTTTTGCTCTGTACAATGATAATTATGGTTTCCCAACTACAGATCCAAATCAGATTTTCCTAGCAATTAAGTGTCATCAAGTTGTCTAAAATTAGAATACCTATATATCCACTTCAATTTTAAATATTAAGATATAGTTTAAATATTGAAATTTCATTTTCCGTGTATATTAACAACATAGAGCAAAGGAAGTAAAGAAATAATCAAAGATGGAAATAACTCAAATTCTGAAAGGATAAATGATCATGCAGTAATAAACAGTGTTGAAGTATTGACACATACTAGAATGCCAATGGTTAAATTGGCCAGAACAAAAATAATTACATATTGTTTGCTACATTTTATATGGAAAGACCCAGAATGGGCAAATCCTTGTAGACAGACAACAGATCATTGGATACCTGGACCTAGGGTTGGGTCCAGGACTGGATGTATAATAATAGGCACTTAGTTTCCTTTTTGTAAAATTTAATTTTATTGTTATTATTAAGGTGTTGTACAGAGGGGTTACCATTTCCTAAGTCAGGTAATGAGTACATTTCTTTTTTGGACAATGTTTACAAGTTTCTCAGTTCATTTTCCACATAGTGTGTATTGAATACCATGATTGCATTTGCTCACTCTTCCTCCCTTCTTTTCTGTGCCCCTGCTTTGAACCCTCTAAAAATGCAAAAACAAACAAACAAACAAAAGCAAAAATAAACAACCACCATTACTACCAACAACAACATTTTTCTATTTCCTAGAATTCATTTCAATAAATAGTACTTTAACTATTCTGAGGAGTTATGCTTTGGGGTTCCTCCCATAAGGTTATCCTCCTTTAGTCGGACTTTTTCAGTGTAAATGCCTAGAATCCTATGTAAGTTACCATGTCCAGTGTATAGACCTGGCTTCCACATGTGAAAGAAAACACTTGACATCTGTCTGTCTGAGCATGGCTTGTCTCACTCTTAGTTTCCTTTGGAAATGCTGAAGATGGCAGAGATCTACTGATGGCTACACAACCCTGTCCATACTCTAAAGTGCCATTGAATCATACACATTGAAATTGTTAAAATGGTAAGGTTTTCATTGCACTTATTTACCACAATAACAATAAGCCAATGTGTAAAAAGGAAAATCAAAAGGAAGTAGATTGTAAGCAAGACCCCTTCTACTTGCTATAAACCAGTTATATTCACTGGAGGACATTTTTGGTTGCAAAATTTATGTAATTCCAACTTTCCTTCCAAACTCTCAATAGGGTTGTCTATAGTTGTGTAATACAGTTTCAAATTAAGAAATAACTTTGGGTCTCAGTGAAAGGAAAGATCAAAACAGGCACATTTGAAAGCTTTTCATTTATCTTTGATTACAATCATACCCCATTTCAGGAAGTTGTAAAAATGGAGAATAACTTAATGGATCCTGACAAACACAATTTTTTTTTCACTCTGACAATGTTTTATTAGATTAGTACCAATTGCTCAAGTTTTCAAAGATGTGGGTCAGTAAATGGAAGAAAGGTCTCACGATGCTGGGAGTGATATAATTCCTGGAATAACAATATTGTGTCCCTATATACTATCCCAGAGTTGATTGGTTCATTATTGTAAAATTGTCTCAAATTTGTGCAATGGATTCTGAGAATCCATGGACTCTCTGAATGTTGATTAATTTGTTTTTCAATCTAGAGTTTTATAACCTACTAGTTTTATTTTGTTTGTATATTTTTTTATTTTTGTTTTTTTGCCAGTCCTGGGACTGGACCCCTGGGTCTGGGTGTTGTCCTTGAGGTTTTTTGCTCAAGGCTAGCACTCTACTACTTGAGCCACAGCTATACTTCTAGGCCTTTCCACCCCTTAATTGGAGATAGGTATCTCACAACCTTTTCTGTCCAGTCTGGCTTTGAACCCTGGTCCTCAGATCTCAGTCTCCTGAGCAGCTAGGATTATTGGTGTAAGCCACCAGAGCCCAGCAACGCACTATCTTTTTATTTATTTCATTCCTATCTTTCCCAAATAACCTCACATATATCATTGCTGTAAATAAGCTAATATGGTACAATAATATAATTAACATAATTTTATACATATGTATATTCTAAATCATTGCAAATGATTGCTTTTTCCAGCAAAACTGGAAAAAGAAAACTTCACAAAATAGCAAGTTTATAACCTTCAAACTATTTCAGTCCATTACTGTGAAATCCAGAGTTCTACTGAAGAGCAAAACTGGTGTGAATTATTTCTTGATTTGCAGTTCCTCTATTAAACAGAGAAAAGCCAGCAACTTCAAGTTCTATCACAACTTATTAAAAAACATGTGTTGCTTAAAAGGAATTTTCAATAACCTTTTGGAGGATAATTGTAAGACTTTCCCATCCAAATTCCATGGAGGAAACCATCTTAATGTTTTTTTTAATATAAAAAATGGAAGTATTTCATTTCAGAAGTACTTAAAATACAATTACTGCATTTACTTTTAGAGATTTCATCAAAGTAGACTTTCATCCTTTGCTCTTCAGAGCAGGTGCCTGTAATTAGATGAGGCCCTCATACCTGATTCATTTCCTGGGCCAGAGGGCTCTTGTTTGAGAGCACTAACTTGCTGTGCCTGCATAAGGAAAATATTACTGCCAAGTTTCCACAAAGCCCTGAGAAATCCATCAGTGCTACAAACTACTGACCTTACCCTAAACCCATCTGCCTGCAGGCCAGCTGACTCAATGTCTCCTGCCAGCCATCCGCACACACGTGGTATTCTGTCGCAGATCTGTGAACAGTCAGGAATGAAGAGGAGTTCACATTTTTAGAGAGGCTCACTGGGGAAATAAAAGGGGGGAAGCCCAAATTAGAAACATTTCTTCTCCTAAGACCAAATATATGCTCCAATAGCATATATTTATTCTTTGTTTTAGTTACGAATCATTTGGTGAGAACTCACCAGATAAAAATCATCACTGTACTCTGAGTGATAGACAACTGGAAAAAAAATTAGAAATGTCCTCAAAAAAAGTGTAGACTTTTGTGAAGGAGACAAGCAGTTCTTGGCTTTCCTTTATGAGTTAGGAGATGGCCCAAAGGCAGAGCCCATTTACCGAGAGGTTTGTATAATTAATTGTAAGGAGCCATTTGTAACTCCATTCATTTCCTTTGGAGAAAGCATAGGAGAATGCAAATGTGTAAAAGCAACGCTGATTTAGAATTAATATGGACATACACTCATTTCTGTTTTATAAAAGAAAAGTCTCTGCACTTAGGCAGACATGGACCATTTGTGAAACACTATGTAATTGATTACAACACACAGGGGAATCATGATTTGGATGGATGACACCAACGACAAAGTGAGAAGAGTGATGGATGAGGGTGAGGGAAATAATCAGGTAACTCAAGATGACAAAGTGCCACACTGGCAGTTCTCATAGGAGATGCCTCAGGTCCTGTCTGTGAAAGGACCTGGGTAGGGAGAATTCCTGTCTGGACATGGCACAATAACACAAACCAGGCCTTTTTAAACTAGACATTTTAATACTAGTCCAAGATGTGTAATTGATCCAAGAGTGTCAGAATATTGATCACTATTAAAGCTGAGTGATAATAATGAGGTTTAAAATCCTATTCCAGAAATAAGATGGATTCAAAAATCTTGAACCCCAAATGTTATGCATATAATATAGACGTTTCAAATAGAATAGTAATTTGGGGGCAATTTTCTGTGACTTGGAAATAGCACCCATGAGTCACCATTGTTAGGTTTTGTAACCATTAAGTAACTAGATGAACTTGGTTAGGGAAATCTGTGAAGTGATCTGAGACTCATTTAGCTTCAGTGGCTGACAGGCATGCAAGAATTCCACAGATGGCAGAAGTGGGCCGCTTACCACAGTCCCATTCATCCGAACTGTCTGAGCAGTCTGCTTTCCCATCACACCACCGGTCATGTGACAAGCACTCATGGGTGACACATTCCAGTTCATCTTCTTGGCAAAATGCTGGCAGTGGAGGCAAGAAAAGAGAAGAATGAAACATTTGGGAATAACTGTGACTGTCACTAACACATATTCTCCTTTGCCAGCAGGAGTGTGACAAGATAAGTATATCATGGTCATAAAGGCCACCAAACATAGACAAAGAAAGTAACAGAACCTGTAGATTGTAATGAACAAACTCATCCAAATAGGATTAAACTGTCTTCAAATTTTCTAGTTCTAACAATCAGATTGAAAAAAACAAAATGGTACTTACTCATTGCACCAGAAACATCAAGGGCCAGAGAATAAGGTTAAAATTTGCATGGCCATAGAAAGAGTACTTCAGAGACTAAAGCACCACAAGAATAAAACAAGTTCTATTCTTTTTTTTTAAAAAAAAAAGAACTCTACTAGTAAATTACTCTCTTAGTCATATATATATAATTTTCTTCTGAATTTAAGAAAATCATTGTAAATCTCCTTGATTGCCTATTTAGCATTCATTTCCTTTCTTCCTCTTTTTTTTTTTTTTAAGGAAATCTGATTTGGGTCAGGGCTCCACTCCCATCATCCCAGCCTTAGAGGAAAATCCTGATTAGTTTAAGATTGTCATGGCATTGCTCTGATTATATTATTCATTGTAGAGAATAATTATTAGTCCAGGACTAACTGTGATCCAGCAGGGGGGACTTTGGTGGATGGCTCTGTGGATGGTGCTTTGTCGAATAGTTTCTACCCACACTCTGCTGACCAAGGCCCTGTGCCCTAGCCTGGGACCAGAGAGAAGACAGGAGAAAAGAACATCTTCCTCTAATTAGTTCTCCCAGCACGGAGCTGCTTTCTTGGAATTCAGTTGTTTGTAGGGATGCCTTTTGTAATCTACACAAAGGCTTCCAACTGTTCCTCACTGCTGTAACTCTTCCCAAAATGCTTTAGTAATGTTCCAGAGATAAGAGCAAAATTCTCTGCCCTTCCTGCTGGATGAGATGAAGGAAACTTGGTAGCAGGGGCTCTTGGCTTGCAACCAACCAGCCTGGGGTCAAGCTTAAACAAAAAAGTCATGAAGTGTGGATTCCCACCTAGAGCCTCAAGAATTCACCCTATGTTTACTTCTCATAGGACAACAAAAGCCATATGTGACTACCCAGGAGAGAACAAGGTAATAAGTACCATCAGGAATAGTTGGGCCTTCTGTTACTGGGAAGTAAAATATTTTGCGAAACATATATTTTTTCTGGTTCTAAAGATAATGGCTACTCAATAAGACATTTAAAAAAAGATTTAAAAGTACAAAAATATAATAATCCCACCACGCAGACATTTTAATTGCAAACTCCTTGTGATTTTTAGATATTTTCCTATGTTTCTTCTTTATAAATTACATTTTCTTACAGTAATGAATCCCAAAAAAGAACTACTATACTATATTATATTATGTTCATCTTATAAAGAATATTAGAATAATGTTGAATAATAAAGAATATTAGAATAATATTTTAGGTGCTTTTGATTATTTTCTTGGTGCATATCTGCTGGGAGAGGTTTGGCTAAAGGTCTGAATAAGCTAAAAGCATCGGAAACATATTGTAACATTTCTGATTTGTATTCAAAGTGAGGTAATAGCATCTAAAACAGAAACATTGTGTTTGGTCCTCAGCTCCACCCAGACCTGAGCTCCTCCCTGCTCTGGAGTTCCCGCCATACAGCTGGCCCCTCCTCTCTCCGCCCTGGCCCACCTGAGCTCCCTCCTACCTCACTTCCTACCCTCAGACCCTGCTGCTACCTAGATAGCGGAGCCTGCCATGCTCTCTCTCTGGGAGAAATATGGCTCCTCTAATAAACCTTGTAACAATCTTTCTCCTGTGCCTGCCTGCCTCCGCGTGGTCCCCTGGGATGGATGTGATGGATCCTTTCAGAAGCACTTACAGCAATTCTTCTCATCCATGCTGTCGGGACAGTCTGGGAACCCGTCACAGATCACCGCGTGCTTTACACATTGCTTGCTGATTGGACATTCCCAAAGCTCCCTTTCCTTACAACCTGCAGACAGAAGAAAATGGTTCTTTGCTATAGATGTGCAGATTAGAATGGTGATGAGGTTTGGCTAAGCAATGTAGAAAACTTACAACCTCAAAGAATGACTTCCTTTTCCTTAAAGAGTATTGATACCTGTGTATACCCCAGTGAATGAACAGTGTAATTTTGAAAGTAGAAACACTCAACCACCTCCATCCTGCACCATAGATAGCACGGCTCTTTATTTTAAGCTAAAAATCAACATCTAGGAAATGAGGGAGAAAAATGAAAAAGCAACTCTAAATCAACATCAACCCTAGCTGTTAGTTTTGCCTTCTGAGTCAATTTGCCAACATGAAAGACTTCTCTATGAAACGAGTTATGCCTTAAAGCAAATATGCCAAAGCCTAGAGATCTAATGCATGCAATCTTCAATTCTAATTTCAGTGTACTAAGAGACCATCTGTATGTGAAAGAGGCTTCTCTTCTGCTGAAAATTTATACAACTAATTTAAGATCAGCAGCCAATGACTCCATGGTGGTCAGAGATCGAAGGTTGAACATGTTCTCAATTAGAATGAGGAATAACATAGTTTTGGAATTTAAGTCTGTAACTTAAATTGTAATTTGGCTAAGTAATAGAAGGCACTTTACAAGGACTTTAAAGAACATTAACAAAATGCCATTTGATGCACCTACAGTGAATTTTATATGCCAAGAGTCTAATGTATTCTAGTCATTCTAGTCAGGGTCATAGCCTTGGCAGGCTGTGAGGATTGTAAAGTATTAACCACATAGCATTGAACTTTGAGCATCCTTCACATTCCTGCTTAGAATAGTGTGTCTAGTAGGCAGTGGGTCCTTAACCTATGAGTATTTCAAATAGAATTTCACTTCATGTAAGGAACAAATGTATCTCTGATTCCCAGGAGAAGATAATTTATTTTCAGGGACATGAAATGTAAAGCAGTGATCAAATGAGGGCTCTCTTAAAAATGTCATTTCTCATCTGGCAAAGAACAAATAATTCAAAGAACTTTAGTAGCTAGTTGACTCAGATTTCTGAGAATCAATTATGAAGGGAAAAATCCTTATTCAGGACCATAACTGAAGTAAGTCTCCAGAAGAGAATTTTTCAGAGCTAAAATGAGATTTAGAGTGTGCCACCAATCAAAGACATAAGAAATCAAGATTGAGATTCTTTCTCTAGAGTGTCCTTGGGCACAGAGACATCAATGGCAAGGACTCGTGGGCATTATTACTTGAGATTTCAGCTGGCCGAGGAGAACAGATGTTATCTGCAATGTTCTGAGAATAATGTTCTTTAGAGATCTGAGAAGGAGGCTACAGTTTCCCTCAGTGACCCAGCTCCTGCCAAACTTGTTCTGCAGATTGTACCAGAGTACAAAGCAAACTGAAAAGAGCTCTAACATCCCACAGTGCCACCCAGCTTCCAGGGCTTCTTACCTGCACACAACACAAGTGCTAGGGGGAACAGTGGGGGTTCATGGGAACTTTCTAAAGAGGAGGAAGAATTTGGACATTTGGAAAGAATTGCTGCTAGTAGATAGACCACAGAAAGAGGTCATCTGAAGCAAAAGACCTGCTACATTGTATCTTCACAAATAAAAACAATGACACTAAAAGATTAACATTTATTTTCCACTCCATAGCCATATTGCAGTTATTATTTTTAATGCTTATAGTAATACCATAACATTAATGTAGTTATCACTTATGTGAGAAAACTAAGGACTAATAAGTGTCTGTAAATATCCCTGTGGAGAAAGGTCCAGATGGGATACAGGTCCCAGCCTTTAGTTGAAGAACTTTCTACCATGAGAACATACAATACGCTTGGTGGAAGAAATAAAGGAAGTACACCTCGACTGCCATTACTGAATTAAGCCTAGCTTCCCTTGCTTTGTGTGAAAGCTTTGCGCTCATTTCTCAACTTCTCTGAACCCCAGTTTTGATCATTCTAACAGTAACAATAATGCCTGCTACAAAGGATGTCTGTAATTTTTTTTTGCCATCCCAAGGCTTGAACTCAGGGCCTGGGCACTGTCCCTGAGCTTCTTTTGCTCAAGGCTAGCACTGTACCACTTGAGCTCAGCACCACTTCCGGCTTCTTCTGTGTATGTGGTTCTGAGGAATGAATCCCAGGGCTTCATGCATGCTAGGCAAGCCACATTCCCAGCCCAATGTCTGTAATTATTAAGTGGGTATTCTATTAGCATTCATTTACTATCAGTTTTCAATTCTTCCCATAATGAAGCTATAAAACGTACATGTATCATACAGTTTTGAATACATGTTATGAGGATTTTAACTCTCAGAAATGGTTCAGGTTATATTTTAAATTTCTATTTTTATTTTTTGAGGCTAAGAAAAACCAAAGGTAGTTGTCAAAAGCAGTTTATAATTGGAAGATGAATAGAAAGGTATGGAATGGTACTGAATTAATTGTTTTGTGACTATCTTTCTTTACCCTTTTATTCAGAATAAGGACAAATGAGTACCTATGAAGTGTATTCATGTAATGATGTATTTTGCTAGGTGCCAGTGGCTCATACCTGTAACCTTAGCTAATCAGAAGGCTATAAGATAGGAAGATTCTAGTACAAAGCCAGTCTAGGCAAGGATATGTTTAATTACAGACAAGCCCATCATCCTATAAGGCAAAGGAGTACTTCTCTGTTAACACAGGGCTGGCTTTGTGGATCCTTGTCTTGTCTATAAGGCTGTTCTTCTGTAAATCAATACTGAGCTAATGCCTTCAGGCTGGCAAAGTTCTTCAACTATCATTAGAAATATTCCTGGTACTAACAAGCTTTTCTTCTCTTGTTTATATGAGCCAGTATACAATCAAACTTTTACCATGAGAGAAGACATTTAAGAACATGGTTGCTTATCACTCAACTGTTCTGAATATATTTAAGTATTTTTGTAAGTTGTTTTGGTAACCACATCTTCCAGCTCTACAATACTAAAAAAAAACACAAAGCAAAATAAGCACATTGTAAAGGGAAAAAAAACCCAGAAACACTGTTAAAAATTCTGAGAAAGCTCCCATTCATGACTGAAAAGTTAACCATTACATTATCTAGTAAAGCCCAAGAGCTAACGGACAAAGTCCAAAAGATATGAAAAAAATTAATGTAATCCAGCTTTGCTGGAGCTGTTGGTGCATTACTAAATGGTATGCCTATGAAAACAGACAGCAAAAGAGGAAGTAGATGACCTACTACTTCCTCTGACAGGCCTCTGTCAACTTGACTTCCTTATTTGGTTATAGGGGGTGTGGTCACCCAGGACACTGGACAAGCCTATTCAAGTGCACATGTATGTCCCCAAGGGACATGTTTAAAATTTATATCATAAATTCCTTTGGAAAATTCAATGAGAAATGTCTCACACATTGTTACTGTTGGAGGGATTCATTTAACTCCACCAGCATTGATTTTTTATTCATTGTTCCTAGAGCTCTCAATGGTGGTACCAATATTTTGAAGTTAGAGATTAGGCAATTTACCTTCTTGTTTTGTTATTCTCTTGTGTGACTTAAAGTACTGATGAAAATTTATTAACCAGAAACTTGATATTTGAGCATAATGGAATCCTTATACAACGTTATAGTCCTTTGAACTTTTTTTTTTTTAAACTCTGGGCCTGGGCACTGTCCCTGAGTTCTTCAGCTCAAGGCTAGTGCTCTACCACTTGAGCCACAGCACCACTTCCAGTTTTCTGAGTAGTTTATTGGAGATAAAGAGTCTCATGGACTTTTCCTGCCCGGGCTGCTTTGAACCGTGATCCTCAGATCTCAGCCTTCTGAATAGCTAGGATTACAGGCATGAGCCACCAGTGCCCGGCTGAACTTCTTTTTTTTTGTATAATGCATTCTAGAATACAGAATGGCTAGCCTTGGCAAGGCTGAGTTTTAAAACTAAGATTTTGCATTTCTCAGATATTTTTTCCTTCCACAGCACATTGAGGCCTAGCTACACTACAGAAAATCCTGCCACCTCTCCATTTTAAATTGCATCTCAGAACATATACCAAATCAAAGCTGTGAAGTGACCAAATACAATACATTCCCCCAAACCCATTTATGTAACTGACAGTAAGTGAATTTTTATTTATTTTTGACAGAAAGATTATAAAGAAGTGAATAACACTAACTTCTCAAAATAATGTCTGGTCTTCCATAGAGAAATTACCCCCTGGCTATTATACCACCACTCTGACATCTATAACTTTCCAGAAGATGCCCTTGTCCACATTTATAGTGGTTGATAGGATCTTAGTTGATTGTGCATGACATTTTTTTAGACCAGAAGGGCAATGTCTACTACAGAAATTGCATTTGGGAAGTAAAGCAATATTTCATACCTCAAAGGCCAAAAGAATAAAATGATCTCAAAAGATGTATTGCCCTATGTATGTCCAATAAATAGTGTCAATTTTATTTTGGTGCATGACAACCGAAATAATCAGAGCTGGGCTAGGCTTTGGAAATCCCCTCAATCATTTTGTTTATTCCATTTATTAAAAAGTATTGCTCCTTGTCGATTTCCTGACACATTTTGAGCTTACAAGGAGAGGAATCAAGGTTTACAAGGAAATACTATGAGATTTAAAATCCATTTAAATCACCACAGGCCTTTCTAGCTTTGCCAATGGTGATTTTGGAGCTCAATAGCAAGAAGCAAGAAGGATATTATCTCTTTTGACAAGAGATCAAATAAGACAAAGTATGAAAATGAATTCCAATTAAATTTGAATGCTGTTGTCTGAACTCTTTCTTAGTGTATCTAGATGTCTGTTTGTATGTCATTATCTGTTTGCAAAGACACTATTATTTTGATAATTAATTTATATTTTAATAATAAAGATGATTAACCTTTTATTATCTGTTTGAACATGTATCATCAAGGTTATAAATAGAAGCGTCATTCTGATATTCTCTTGTGTGACCTTAAATATTGATGAAAATTCATTAACCAGAAACTTGATATGTTAACAGAATTGAATCCTTATGCTGTGAGTCCTTTGACTAAGGTCACACAGAATGGTTAGTCTTTGCAAGGCTGATTTTTAGAGCTTAAGTTTTGCATTTCTCAGATATTTATTCCTCTACTGCAAATTGAAGCTTACTTATACAACAGAAAATCGTGCAATCTCTTTAAATCATCTAAAGTAATCCATTCTAAATTACATCTCAGAACACATAACTCTTTCAAGTTGTTAAGAGAATCAATATAATACATTCTCAAAAACCCATTTATGTAAGTGACAATAAGTGAATTTTGATGTATTTTTTATAGAAAGATCACAAAGAAATGAACAGCAATAAGTTGTGTTAGGGAAAAGTATTACCAGAGAAAAACCTCAACCCTTGTCCACTATTCACACTTTCAGAAGTTAAAAGCATTAGCATTCTATCCTAGTCACTATTTACTGCAAGTGGGCAGTTTATATTTTTAACACAGTTATTTTGTTTCAGCTTATTTTACTACTTTACAATCACGAGAGTTCCATGTCACATACATACCACAGTTTTCTTCATCGCTGTCATCGTCACAATCATCCTGACCATCACATCTTCTGGAAGCCAGAATGCACCGTCCGGAATGGCACTTGAAGTGAGTAGGTGAGCATTCTGTTCAAAACAATGTAACACTTAAAGGACAGAAACTCCCTAAACCTTCACCCAGCTCATCTATTTACATGTGGGCTGTTGTTGAGCTGCTAGGACAGAAGGTAAGATGGACCTTCCCAGAGCTAAAACGGCTAAGTTTACTTGGCTTTTTTCTGTCTGCCAATCAGCATTTTTTTTCTCCTTCATCTTGATATCATCTTTCCAGATCAACACTTCTGTGCTTTCCAGTGATTATCTTCTTTATTTTTCTTTTTTAAATATGTTCTTTATTGTGAAATACTTTACAGAGGGGTTACAGTTACATGAGTAAGGTCATGAGTACATTTCCTGTAGGTGCTAATAGTGCTTATCTTCTTAATGGACAACCTCACAGCTGCCAGTGCTTGAAATACTGTGGAGCCTGTGACCTTAACCACGCAGCTGCTTTCAATGTGTCATTCTGTGATGAGTGGCCCTCAATTCTAGTTCTCTACTTAAGAAGCCTACATTTCCAAGACCTCAAAATACTTTGTACTTGGTGGGATCAAGGCTTGTTCGTCACCATTCCCTTCAGGACCTCTGGTATGCAAGGAACCTTCACCAATAACCACCTTTGTGAGCAGCATGCTTAAAAGGATAAACAGATGGAATACTGAGCCCACAGCTAACTCGTATCTAGCCTGTATTGTTTTTATCACTTAAAATTACTTATTTGTAAAATAACTGTGTACCAGAAGGGCACCGATGTTTTCAGTGCAATTCAAACCACAGATTCACTCACCCACACAGCCTGGTTGGTTCCTAAATAGAAAAACACAAACATAGACTGCAAAAGGTGCGTGCTATGCTTATCTGTGTTCAGTACCCCATAGCAATTAAATTGAAAATTAACCTTGTACATCTGCATCAGGCATTAGGCAAGTTTGATTGTCTGAATTTTCTACTGGAAATTGATTGCAATCTGTGTCTTCAGGCCATTGTAAACCCACAATCCCAAGAACAGACTCACAGCGTTCTTTAGAGTGCTCACACAGTGCTCTACAAAGGGCAAGAAAAATACAATGTTAGAGGCAGAAAGAGTTCCATCAAAGGAATACATTAGGCTGCATCTGACAGATATCGATGATATAAATATGGATATATGCACTGCTGTAATTTAAATCAACCACTGATTATTTATACTGGACAGTAGACTGTGACTCTCTTCCCATTCCCCTGTAACATGGAAATAATAATATGGAGCATGCCTACTCTAAGGGGTGCTGGTCTTGTCAATATCTGTGTGGTATTTGGCCACAGGCAACAACCTTAATGCTACTTATCTCAATCCAGAGGTTGTTTTGAGTGTGAGACAGCATAATGATACACAACAATTGTAAGGACTCAATAATGTTATTCTTTTTCAGATATATATCTTTAAATGTTAAGATGAGGGCAAAAACAACTATAAGGAACTCATAAGCATATTTTTGTCATCACCTAACTTTTTTTATAAATAGTAACAAACTATAAAATTCATATTGAGAGCCTCTGAAGATGGAAGGTATACAAATCAAACTAAGCACAGAATTAAAGTTTCCCAAAGAAAGCTCACCAAAATGCTGATGGAAGAATATCTCAGAATTAATCTTACCTTAATCATTTTAATATGAAACTCACATTCTAAAAACTGTAGGTAATATCTGGATGTAAATTTATCTTTACAGGAAGGAATGTTGCATTGGGAAAATTTTATGTGCTTGTGAAAATAAAATCAAACACAAGACTTGGTGCAGTATTATTAAGAGTAATCATTCACTACCACCACTAATCTTATTTAGCAAAATCTGGCTGAGATTTACAAATAACTTTTCAACACAAAATGAGTAGATCCTCTTTTGCAACACCTTAAAAGGCATTTGCAGAAACTTTCAGCATTATTTTTGGACAAGTTAATGTCAAGTTTTACTGTCTCCATTTTCACATTTGTTAGTTTTCTAGAATTTTATTGGTTCCGGTCCTCACTCTATGGATGCCCCTACTTTGCCATTCATTTGATAGCATTTCATTTATCATTTTCCTAGCTGTCCACTGTGTTGATATTACTGCTTTTCCTTAAAGCTGTAAGTGACTTCTGATCCCAACATCTGGTTTCTATAGTCACCACTCATGTGTACGCAAGCACATCTGATCAGCACCTCTGATAGAAAAGATGGAAAATAACTCTGATGGAAAGAGCAACCACCTTTGGGGCAGCCATATTGCACAAAGTCTCTGTCCATAACCTTTAGCATAAGATGCAGAAGAGGGAAAAAATACTACGAATAAGCAATTGTGTTCTGTGCTATCCTCCTAGCTCTATCAGGCATCAAAGAGCTTTCAGTCCACATTTATGAACATTTATTTCATGTGCTCTCCTAAAAAGCCAACAACTGTTTGCATATTTCCATCATCAGGTGAAGGAACTGAGTCTGAGAAAGACTAAGCAATTGGTCCTAAGGCTACTAAAGCAGCTAGAGAAGATCTAGGGCTAGACGTCAGACAATGAGAGCCACAGAAATAGACTTGGTCCTAGGATATTCCTTAGACCCAGGTCCAAGCTGCTGGCTTATAATGCTGACCCTGACTTGTTTCATTCAGACAGAAAATGTCAGTGATATTCATCTCCCTCCAACCTGTGAGGTTGGCAGGGAGGTGTCCTGTCTCCCTGAAAAATATTTTTTAACTTTGTCTGCGACCAGAATGGTACTGAGCCAGGGCCTTGCTTGGACATGTTAAACTCTACCACTAAGCCACACCCCCAGCAATAATTTTTAATTTTATTTTTTTGTCAATCATGAGACTTGAACTCAAGGCCTGGGTGCTGTCCCTGAGCTCTATTGCTCAAGGCTAGTGCTCTTCCACTTTAAGCCACAGCGCCATTTCTGGTTTTTGAGTGGTTAATTGGAGATAAAAGTCTCATGGAGCTGGGAAGGCTCAAGTGGCTCTGTGGCTCAAGTGGTAGAGTGCTAGCCTTGAGCTGAAGAGCTGAGGGACAGCACCCAGGCCCAGAGTTCAGGCCCCACGACCGGACCAAAAAAAAAAAAAAAAAAGAGTCTCAAAGGGACTTTTCTGCCCAGACTGGCTTTGAACCATAATCTTCACATCACAGTCTTCTGAGTAGCAAGGATTATAGATGGGAGCCACCAGCACCCAGCTAACTTATATTAAAAAAAAAAACAAAACCACTTCTTGATCCACCAAAATTAAATACATGTGATCTTACTTGATCAAAACATGTGACCTGTCATCAATGTAAATACTTAGTCAACTATTTGTTTACAACTCTGACTTCTTTCCCATTTACACATGTTACTTGTTAAGTCTAGAGCTCCTAAGCAACGTTTATTTTGTCCAAACTCAAGTAACTCTTTGCTCCTTTGGTTGTCCATGAGATAAGTGAGGAATGCTTGTGAGAGACCCACCAATTTTATTTTGCTTTTCATCACTGTTTCAAGTTGCTTATGTTTTTAGATGAAATTTACCTGCAAGGGGGGATGCGTTGGCCTGTGTTCACATCACACTTTGGAACCAAAATGGTGCAAGCAAAAAACATGAGGTATTTGTAACAGTTGGTCTGAACAAGTGCGGGGAAGAGAGAAGATTCCCAGCTGATGGAGGTTTCCTTTTGAGTCTGATGGCCAAGGTAATTTGGATAATTTGTGTGGTTGTAGGGCAGATTCATGCAAAGTTCCAGGGTAATTGGTTCACATTGACCTGACAATAAAAACAAACAAAATACACATATGAATTGCCTTTTTTTTGCCCCCCTCTCCCAATTGCCCAGATAAAAACAACTTCATACTAACTTGAAGTGTTTTACTTTTTGTCTTTAGAGTAGCTGAGACTAAAATGCAAGTACTATATATCATTGTTCTGGGATTAACAAAAACATGAGGAAGTTGATTAATGAAGTGCATGGTGATCTAAGATTCATTTCTGTTTAGAAAAGCTAGCACAGTGCCCAGCATGCACATTTTACACAGTTCTTTTCTCATTCATTTCTTTGATGGAACTTAACTCAAAATGACTCCCTTCCATCACTGTTTTTATTCACTTCCATTTGCCTGCTTCTGATTAATTCATCACTTCTAACAAAGAATAAACCCTATTATCTTCATGGCCATTTAAAAAAGTCAATGAATTTAATTAAATACACAGACAACTTCTGCTTACACCCTTTATTGTTGATCAATAGACTGAAATCGAAGGCTACAACTCAGGGCAGGAGGAGGCTGACATCTCTTGGAGACTTCTTGCTGATGAGGACAAAACCCAGATGTTTAAGCTTAGAAACCAGGGCGTCTCCTTCTTCAACCACAGCCTTAACTTCCCACCTGTAACTCTGCCAACAGCAAGTCTCTGCTGAGTATGAATTCTGCTCCTCAGCAATGCTGTGATTTTAAGAATTGGATGTACCCCGTTTGGCCTCTCTTTTCTTGGCATGCCTAAAATGGGACCTCCAATGGGACAATGCTCCCAGCTGCCCAGGACTGCTTCCTTTACTCCCCTTTTCTAGTCTCCCCACCAACTTGTCTCCTCTATGGCTTGGCAGACTCAGTATGGACACCTCTTTCAGGATGTTTCCTGAGCTAACCACTCTTCACATTTCTCCTCCTAGACTGAGTCTCTTCTGAGTGTCCTGGTATCTTAAGCATGTGACCGTTCTATACTTGTTATATTCTATTGTGTTTTATATTTACTTGTCTCCCCTACTCACACAAATTTGAGGATGGTTTGTTTCGTTTTGTTTTTATGCCAGTACTAACGCTTGAATTCAAGGCTCAGGCATTGTCCTTTAGGTTTTTTTTTCTTTCAACTGAAGGCTGTTGCTCTACCATGTGAGCCATAGCTCCATGTTAGGCTTTTGATGGTTCATTGGAAATAGAAGAGTCTCACAACCTTTCCTTTCTGGGCTGGCCTTGAACCTTGATCCTCATATCTTAGCCTCCTGAGCAGCTAGGATTACAAGCATGAGCCACAAGTACCCAGAAATTTTGAGGGTTTTTTTTTTGGAAAAAATGACACTAATTCTTGATCTCAGAATCTGTATACCCTACCCAACACAGTGCCAGGCTGAAGGAAAGAAAAGAGGAGGAGGAGAAGGATACTAGGCAATGAAAACGTAAGTGATGAAAGAGACTCATCCTGCCATTAAGAAAATCTTGGCGAGGGAAATAAATGGCACACGCTGGTTGCTGTGGAAAAGTCTGAGCTGACGAGGGTAATACATATCCTGGTCTGAATCCTGTGATTCCCTTGTTTCCAAAGCCACATGCCCCCCACCAGGGTAGCATATGGGGCGGGGCTTCTGGAGGTAAATTAGATTTCAATGAAGTACTACATCTAGAGTACTATCCTAACACAAAGAGATGAGACTAGACCCTTTGCACTATCCACCAAGTGCAGATACAGTAAGAAGGTGTTTTGGCTGCAAACAAGGAGGGAAATCCTCACCCAGACACGTTGATCTTGGACCCCAGCCTCCCAGAACTATGAAACACAAAAATTTGCTGTATAAGGCACTTAGTTTATAATATGTGTGTGTGTGTGTGTGGACACTGGGGCTTGAACTTGGCCTGAGCATTGTCCCTTAGCATTTAACACCTGCATGGCTGTTGCTCTACCATTTGAGTCACAGTGCTACTTCTTTTTGGCAGTCAACTGGAGATGAGTCTTATGGATTTTCCTGCCCAGGCTGGCTTCAAATCATGATCCTCAGCTCTCAGTCTCCTGAGTAGCTCGGATTACAAATGTGAGCTACTGGCATTGGCAAGGCTATGGTATTTTTGTGATAGCATCCTGAACCTACTCAGACAATGTTATTGAACAAAATGCTAGAGGCACAGAGAAACAAGACAGAGAAGAGGTGACTCAAGGAAGCACTGAGGAACTCCTTTAAGAGTAGAAGGCTTAGAGTAGGTTTGGTGAAGTACAGTAGAGGCTGCCTGTTTCCTGGGAGTTCATAGTGCTTGTGTCACATTCCCTGAAGTGAGACAGGTAATCAGACAAGTGTCTTGGCAAAATTAGCCTAGGCAGACTGAAGACTCCAGGCCTTATTAAGAGTAATTATTCGAATTAAACTTATTTACTCGATAGAAAAGTGGCACGCATGCGAATAGATCATCAGTAAGGGCTGCTGTGGAATATTAAAATAGCCCTAGACTACTTATTCATGGCAAGAAACTGAGGCCTTCACAGATGCCATGTTCATAAGGAATCTCACACTGGCCAGATTGCAAACATTAATAACAAGGTGTGACTGTGTAATTGCACTCTTGACTTCCTAGGGAAGGCCCCGTGCTGGCAATTGGGCATAATCTTGAGCAATAAGCACACACACACACACACACACACACACACACACACACACACATATAAAAAAAAGGAGCTAGGGAAGGTCCAGTTATTGTATTCTTTGATTTGTGGAGGAGTGTTGAGGGCTGAATGTTTGTGCCCTTTCACCCCCAGAGTTCCTATTTTAAATCCCAAGGAGTTACTATTAGAATTGGGTCTATGGTAAATAATTAGGTCAGGAAAGCAGAGCCTTCTTCAGTGGGATTAATGAGCTTGCAAATGGAGCCTTGGGAACCCTCCCACCCTCTTTCCATTGTGTGAAGACACAATGAGAAGTCGGCCACCCCCACCCCACAGGGCTTCCTCATCAGAGGGTGTGGGCATCCTGACCTCACACGGCCAGCCTTGAGAACATGAGACTCAATGGCTGATGCTTACAAACCACCTGGGTGACAGTAATTCATTATTATATCCCCAGACGGAGACAAAGAAAACCATTTAAACTTTTTTTTCAGATTGCAAAAAAAGTATCCTGTAAAAATGAAAATAATACTAAAAAGAAAGAAACAGTGCATAATAAGAAGCAGAAACAGAAAGAAATAGTAAATCATCTCCCTCATTCCATCCATCAACTCCCAAAGCTGAGGGGGGGGGGGAGGCTTGGACATTCCTGTCCCTTTTCACGCCTTCTTGTGTCTTTCCGTATCTTTCCCTGCTCACATTGTTCACACAGACCTTTGTAGACTTAAACAGAGGTTTCTAATTGCTTTTGCCAAAGAACAATCAAACTATTCTTTCTTATTCTCATTCTTGTTATTCTTATTATTCTTCTATTATTGTTATTCTATGCTTTAGTTGCTTCATTATTTATCCCTGACTGTAAGTTTGTAATGCATATATCTTCAGTATTTTAATATTCTTATAATTTTACAAAATTAGATCATTCACACTAATTTTTTTTATTGTGAAAATACTGTGCAGAGGAGTTACAATTACATGGGCAAGATAATGAGTACATTTTTTATCAAGCATTGTAGCCTCCTCCTTTGTTTCCCCTTCCCATCCCTTCCCATCCTCCCCCCCAACCCCCCAATACTGCCCCCCACCCCCTCACCAAAGTTGTAAAGTTAGTTTTCGACATAACGACTTGTACATCTCACTGTTGCAATGGGTCCACCTGTATCCCTAGTTAAACGATTTGTTTTTGCCCTTTCCCACCACAAATTATACCAACATCAAATACAGTGAAAGCAGGGGTTATACTGTGGGGAAGGGACATACAAAGCAACAAAGAAATCATCCTATAAATGTGTTAGAAACAATTGCATGAAAGAAAAAAAACATTTGAATACATAGCTTAGGGTTCATTTCCCTAACATCAACTTATCTGACCTTTTCTGCTTGACTCAGACATATACTAGATATTGCAAATAAGGGAAATCATGGGACCTATGTTTCTTTGGGCATGTCTTACTTCACCTAATATCATTTTTTCCAAGCCTTTCCATTTCCTAACAAATGAGGCAATGTCATTCTTTCTGATGGAGGCATAGAATTCCATTGTATATATATACCACATTTTCTTGATCCATCATCTACTGAGGGGCATCTGGGTTGGTTCCATATCTTAGCTATGGTAAATAGTGCTGCAATAAACATAGTCGTGCTGGTAGCTTTAGTGTGGTCTTGTTTGGATTCACACTAATTTTTGACGTGGTCTTTTGTCCCCCTCTTTTTTATTTCCTACCACCCCATCAATATTTAACTTGTTATTAGTGTATTTCCTCTTGGAAAATAAGACATAATGCACAAACAATTCTTCCATCTTTTGAAACGTGGAGAATGTGTCACTTTGGATTTATGATAAAAATTTAAGTTCAAAGTATTTCAGAGCCAAGGGAGATAAAAAGCATTAAGTAATGTGCATATATTATTTTGAAGATCTTTATTGAGGATGGTAAAGTTGGTTGGATATTATGTTTTATTCCTTCATAAGTTAAGCTCTCAAGATACCTATCAAGCCTCAAATCTATGATATATGACATCAATATACTTTTATTTGTTAAGCATGAGACTCACTCATGAGCCTGATTCACAAGGCCACTAGAGGGCGATCGCACCACAAATGGGAGGGTGCTCACAGACCGGAGCTTTCTGCACAAATTTCAGCAGTAACTGCTCAAGTGTCTTGAGTGTGGATGAGGTTAAATAAACATCCATTTTAAAAAAGAAGCCTGGTGAGATGTCAGTATTTCACCTTTTAGGTTCTGAATGAACTTTTAAACTTCACCCTAAAGTTGGGAGTATAAACTCAAAGATGTTACATCCCTGTCATGAAGCAATATTCAGAAGCCACTGGAAGTCATATATTCAGTCATGGTCATTTTCATGACAAGAGGTCACTTTTCAGCATCCAGTTTCATCTATAATATTCAAAGATGCTTCTTTGCCTCAAATGTTAACACTCCTTTTGCCATTATTTATAATAATCCGGTGAAATATTATCATGTGAACATCTTCATAACTTCATGATTGTTAGCAATGCCCAGAACAAGACACTGATACTTGACCGAGACCCAGAAACTTCTCCATGTACCTATTCTACCTCAATCTTCTTCTTTCTCCCCCAAAGTAACAATACATGTCACAGTTGTCACTTTTCTTGCTCTTCTTTAATGTCTTATGACAAAAGTAGAAACTACTACCTGATTACTGTAGTTCAGGCTTGCCTATTTGAAAAAATAAACTTGTTTTATCTTTTAACTCTTAAAATCTCGAGATTGCTCTCTCAATCCCATAGGTATTTTAAAAAATGATTTTACTAGTAAAAACCTCAAGGATTCAACCCGTAGAGGGTAGCAGAGTTTGGATTTTGCTGGTCGTACACCCTGATAGTTACACATGCCTTCACATAATCTATTTCCTGAACTCTGGCAGCTGAATATGGAGAGGTGACTCTGCTTCCTGCATTTGGCTGGTGATAGGTGGTTGTAATGTTTGTTTGTTTGTTTTGTTAGGAGTCACATTGTGTCTAATTTCCTTCTTTTTGTGATATCAGTATTGCAGGTACTTCATCCTTGGACCCATTTTGTGTCACTCACTACTAATATTCAAATTAAATTCAGTCCTTTTCTTCTCACTTATTCACTGGGAATGCTTTCATAGAGATCTTTTCTCCCATCTATTATTTGCTCCCAAGGACTAAAGGTTTTAACCTTAGATTCAACCAAGGTTTGACCTTAGATATTTTTTTGCCATATCCTCTGTACATTTTGTTCCTTTCAGCTTTCAAAGAGAGACCAGAAAACTATAGATCCATTGAAAGTTATTCAGAGCAAAAACTAGTAATATCTTTCTCTGCTTCACTGTTGAATAAGAGCCTTAGAGTACAGAGAAAATAAAATGTGTGAGTAGGCACATAGAAGCAATGATAGAAGAATGCTATGGGAGACATAGAGGGTATCCTGGGGGCCTGACATTCATACCATGACTCACATGACCACGATAAACACGGAGACAGAGATGGAGAAAGACATGCCCAAGAATAGCCCTTTCCACTGGATTTTGGGATCGCACACTAAGGGAGAGTTATTTGAGATGAATTGCATCCTTGCTCCAAACCCCTAATGCAAAGATATGTCTGCATCTTACTTCCCAATAGGACACAAAGGTGCATATGATGCTGAGCTATGACTGGACAGGGTAACACAAACTGCTAAAAGCTATTTCTGATCTTTAAGGCCTATAGGTACATTGTTTCATCAGATATGGTCTCTGGATTTCTGTTCACTTTTAATTGTAAGCATGTCTGATAATCTAAAATGTACCTAAGAACATACAACCTTTTTCATATTCATTTTTAGAAGAGTCACCTATTCCTGCAGCCACTAGAAATCAGCGCCAGAGCAGTCATAGTAAACTTTTTGTTACATACTGGTGTCACCTCAGGAGTTTAACTAAGAACTGGATCCCACCTGGTATATGTTTGGGGCTCACTGGAAGGATGCATAATATTTCATGAGATGGTGAGAATCAGCCTCTGTCTCTTTGCATGTGATGCTCCATGTTGTACTAGTACTCTGCCTACAAGAATATATGGCCGCACATAGAGCCTCTCATGCTTAGACCAGAACCATAAAGTTCAATTCTTTATAACTTACTTTGTCTCTGGTATTGTACAGCTAGCAACAGAAAAAAGGAACTATCCTAAATATGAGAACTACAGAGCGCTGAATACCTCACTGGCAGGCAACAGTTAACTAGTGGCCATGTAACACAAACTCCTGTCACTTGGAGGCTCAGAAATAGCCTCCTCCTTCAAACTCCTCAACTCACTTTTTTTTCTCTCTCTCTCTCTCTTGGTTATTGTGAATATACCATACAGATGAGTTACAATTACATGGGCAAGATAACGAGTACATTTCTTATCAAGCCTTGTTGCCTCCTCTTTGTTTCCCCTCTCCCTCCCTTCCCATACTCCCCTCACCAAAGTTGTAAAGTTCGTTTTCGACATAATGACTTGTACATCTCATTGTTGCAATGGGTCCACCTTTATCCCTAGTTAAACGATTTGTTTTTGCCCTTCCCCTCCACAAATTATACCAACATCAAACACAGTGAAAGCAGGGGTTATACCGTGGGGGAGGGACATACAAAGCAACAATGAAATCATCTTATAAATATATTAGAAACAATTGCATGAAAGAAAAAATTTGAATACTTATCTTGGGGTTCATTCCCCTAACATCAACTTGTCTGACCTTTTCTGTTTGACTCAGACATACACTAGTTATTGCAAATAAGGGAAACCATGGGACCTATGTTTCTTTGGGCCTGGCTGACTTCACTTAATATAATTTTTTCCAAGTCTTTCCATTTCCTAACAAATGGGGCAATGATATTCTTTCTGATGGAGGCATAGAATTCCATTGTGTATATATACCCCATTTTCTTGATTTATTCATCTACTGAGGGGCATCTGGGTTGGTTCCATATCTTAGCTATGGTAAATAGTGCTGCAATAAACATAATTGTGCTGGTAGCTTTAGTGTGGTCTTGTTTGTGATCATTTTGGTAAATGCCCAAAAGTGGGATTGCTGGGTCATAGGGGAGCTCTATGTGGAGTCTTTTGAGGAACCTCCATACTGCTTTCCAAAGTAGTTAAACAAGTTTATACTCCCACCAACAATGTAGTAAGGTTCCCTTCTGTCCACATCCCCTCCAGCATCTGTTGTTATTAGAGTTCTTAATTATAGCCATTCTATCCGGAGTGAGGTGATATCTCAATGTTGTTTTGATTTGCATTTCTTTTATGACTATAGAATGGAAGAAAGACAACCTCTTCAGTAAATGGTGCTGGCAAAACTGGTTAACTACTTGTAGAAAACTAAAGCTAGATCCTTATCTATCACCCTGCACCAGAATCAACTCCAAATTGATCAAAGACCTCGGAGTCAAAGCAGACACTCTGAAAACATTACAGGATGGAATAGGAGAAACCCTAGGTCTCCTTGGCACAGGCCAAAATTTTCTTAATAGAGACCCAGAAACACAACAAATCAAAGAAAGATTGGACAAATGGGATTGCAGAGCTTCTGCATGGCAAAGGGCATAGCTAGCAGGATCAATAGAAAGCCCACGGATTGGAGAAGATCTTCACTAGCCACACAACAGACAAGGGTCTCATATCTAAAATATACCTGGAACTCAAAAAGTTAAATCCCCCAACAACAAATCTTCAAAGAAACAACTGCCCAAAAAATAAGTGGGCTAAAGCCTTAAAGAAAAACTTCTCTGAAGAGGAAAGAAGGATGGCCAATAGACACATGAAGAAATGCTCAACCTCCCTAGCCATAAAAGAAATGCAAATCAACTCACTTTTATGGTAACCTCCAGACTCCCTAATGGCTACCAGGCCAAGAAAACTGCAGCCAATCCAAGGCCTTGAGTCCTTTGCCCTGTCAGCCTTGCAGCCTTCAGCGGCCTTGGCTGAGAGGATGTCTGTGAAGACGTAATTGCCTCTGGACAAATGAGACCAGACTGGCCAGCTTCTAGAGTTCTAACCCTGAGCTGACGATGAGCCAAGCAATTAATAACCAAAAGTGGAAGAGGGAAGTAAAAATGAGCCCACATGTAAGACATTGTTTCTGGACATCCATCATTGGGGATTTTCTGATTCAGTGTCAATTTCCCATGAGTCTGTTCAGTATTCTTCCCTTTGCCCTCTCTCTCTCTCCCCTCAGATGATCCCTTCTGAAAAATTTAGTGGGAGCCACCTGCTTCTACCATTCGGAGCCATTACATCGTCACTGAAACAAATGAACACAGTGGCTCCGAAACCATTCCAGGCCACCAAAGTTTGGGAAAGGTGAAAATAAATCCATGAAAAGAACAGCCTGCCAAAGTTTTATGTGGCTACCTCCTATTGCTTCTTGGATAAACTTTCCGTTTTGGAAGCTGTGCATGAAAAGGGAAGAAAGATAGCATCTGCCTGTGGATGGAGCCAAGAAAATAATCTATGGGAGCCGTTGTGGATTGGAAAGTGATGGTAATGACATGGAGCAATGTGGATTTATGGTCCATTCACTACGACACATTTGTTTCTGATCTAAGCTAATTAAGACCATTTTGCTTCTCTTCTGCTACCACATGCAACTTTTCAGAAGAAAAACGCAAGGAGATATCCTTAGTTTTTGGAGAGATGCCAGACTTGAGAGGTTCCATGTCATGGTGGAGGAAAAGGGCTGAGTGTCGCCATGTCACATGATCGCGTTTGTCAGGTGTTGTACTTACTACAGTTGCTCAGATTGCTGTCTGGGCCGCACAGGGAGCTGTCGCCACAGGAATCCAGACAGGGACTGTAGAGGCATCTTTGGTCTCCTTCTTGGCATGGAGGGGGACCTATGGTGGGGGAAAGGCACAGTGGCTTTGATCACCCATACATTCCTTACCCATGATTTGAAGGATGGGAAGTGTTTAGTGGAACTGAGGAATGTCCCAACCTGTATTTCCTTCCACCTTTTCCCAAACTCATGAACCCATGTGGAATAGGTGCTTTCTGGGTTCATTTTCCTGGCAACTAAATTCAATCCAGCTATTCGAAAAGTACTCAGGAGGAATGAAAGAAATTAACCAACTACACACACACACACACAACAAAAACAAAAACAATCCTAGAACCAGGTGGGTGTTTCTTTGAATAGGGAAAAAATAGTACTCTCATTTTACTTGTGTACCTATACTTGGAAGGACAGAAGGTAATATAAAGATATTGAAATTCTGAATGCCAAAAGAATATGTTTAAAAGACTCCGTTGCTCTCAATTTTCCCTGCTGAGGAAATCCACTTCTTTAGTAATGAATAGAGCATCAACACCAACACAACACTGACATGTTATCATAATGTGCATTTTTGCAGCTGTTATCCATATTTTTAGTATATCTTTGAAAAATGTCACCAGGCTGGCTGTGATGATCTGAGAACCAGGTCTCTCATTTCCAAGTGAATGGCAACAATCTTTGCCCTAATGGGATATAGAGAAGGGGCTGCTTTTCCCATTGATTTCCTGGTCATTTGTAGATTAAGTGGATAAAGTAAAAAAAAAACGACTGTCCATTATCTTTCATCTCTCCCTTATTATTGTGGTCAATTATTTTCAGATATGTCACATGGAATTTAGGAAATCTCAGTACAAACAGTACTGTGAGTTTATCTGCAACACTCTCATCTAGAACTCTATGAGAGTGCGTATTATCCTGTGATCCTTCTCATTTCCAATGTGAACATTGTCAATCACATTTCACCTTGAAGAAAAGAAATGTCACTAGTTTTTGTTTAGAATCAGGAGGATCAAACTTTTTTCTCCAGGAGATCCTGAATTGTTAGCATAAATGTAAGCTCTTTTGTGACTTTTAAGGCATCAGACATTCTTGAATTAGTAATCAATTCAAATTAATATAGTGCCTGTTGTGTGATGTCTATGTAGAAGCCAAAAGGCTCTGATACCCTCTGGGTAGTAGCTCCTACTTTGGACAAAATCTGACAATGACAATGATTGTGACTGTCCTCTTGAAGACTAGTTGAAGACAGGGATGGTTGGAAGGGAGAGCCTTCACAAAGAAGTCTTCTAGCCAGATGGGAAATGCTGTAATGAGAAGGACAAAAGATAGCAGAAAAATAATACACAAATACACAGTGATGTATGCCCATAATCCTACTTACTTTGAGGCTGAGATCAAGAGAATAATGGTTTGAGGCGACTGGAGAAAAGTTAACTATATTCTTTATCAATAGGAAATTTTTTTTTAAAGCTTGACACAGTAATGTACTCCTGTGGGAAGCATAAATAGGAGGATCATGGTCCAGGCTGGCCTGAGTGAAAAGCAAGACTCTATTTCAAAACCAGCCAAAGTGGACAAAAATGAGAGAAGGGACTAGAGGAGTGGTTCAAGTGGTTGAGCACCTATCTGGTTCAAACCCAGTTCATTCAAAAGAAAGAAAAAAAGGCCCAAAGTGCAGCAACTGGAGCATCAATCAATCAATCAAAGAGAAGGGTAAGGGAGACCAGATAGGTAAACAGAGGCAGAGCCTGAAAGGTTTTAGAAGCCTAACCCTTCAGTGAGATCCAACTCCAATCACAGTGGCCTTCTCCAGGTTGCCTAAACATGCCTGTTCCTTCCTCCCCAAACCTTTTAGCCACGCAGTACTTGTAGGCCTGATACGTTTTTCTTCTTTGTTAACTTTACTTATTCTTTGCCTCCATGTTCCAGTATCTCGTCTCCAAAAGCTTTATCTGGGTTCTTTCACAGAGACATGCAAACCTTCCATAACATCCCAAATTCCCTTTTGTAATCTATGTCACTTTCCAGTTAGATTCTGACTTACAAGTCTTCATTCCTGGCAGGCTTGTCTCCTCTAAAAGAGTTCCATCTCCTTCCTCTGTCTTGTTTTCACTGAATTCTCAATAAATAACTCCATAGTAAACACTATAATCCATATTTTAAGTTGAATTCATAATAATCAATAAAGTAAATTTACTCTCTTTTCACTTCTTTACCCATTTATAATGACTTCTTTTACATTCCACACATATCAGGAAGTGATCTAGACATCCTGCCATTTCATAGTAAAGATCCCACAGTTACTTGGAGTTTATATAGAATTACATGGAAAGTAGAACGATTTGATCTAAAGGGAATTGCTTGGATAATGTGCTCTCAATTACTCAAACTTAGCAAAGACTTTCCTTTAGAATTTCAGAAGTGATTTAAAAAAAAACAAAGCTCTCCTTACATATTATTTCCTGAGATTAAATAAACATTGTGATTTATTACAAGTTTATGTTTTAGAGGCTTTAGGTCTTGGATGCTTTTTTATTAAAGCTATCTTAATAATCAATATTCTTTATGAGGAAACATTTATCTAAAGGTGATCAGTCTCTTTAGCTTGTTCTATAGCCCAATAAATACTTGAACATTATCTACCATGTAATAGCAGACGACATTTAATGGCATTCTGACCAGGTGTTATCCCGGAAAAGTTGTGTTTAGTGACAGAAACTGGGCTGAAGAGGTTGGAGTATCTCACCTAAAATCATCCAGATGGTAAGTAGTAAAGCCAGGGCCTGAAGCTAGGTGCTGCGCATCACGCTTATATTCTTAACCAGGAGACTATGCAGAGAAGCATAGACTGAGGGCAGTGTCAGGGCATTTTGGGGTTAATACATGACTAGCATACTCCTTATAATGCATATTTAAGCTTATTACTTGGTAATGGGAGATATTAAACCCTCTCTCTGAACGTAGTTATTTTAGGAAGCCATTACGTTCAATTTCAGAAGCCAATTTCCTCTAATTGGAATTGAATCTCATTTAATTGGGTACTACACACTAAACTTTTTCTTGATCATGACTTTGCTCATGAATCAGCTCACTGAAGTCAACCACGTTGCTTCACCTCCACCCATTGCCTGGGCATGATTGTTCAGCACATATTGATGAGCTTTCTGTTTACCAAAAGAAAAAGTACCTGACTCAGTCTTTCGACAGAAGTATGCTATTTGAGCTCTCCATAGAGTCTAATAGGCTTCAGTTACTTCATTTGTAACCACTTGCATCCTTTGTAAGGGATGGGGGCAGGGGAAGAAGGGTAGATGAATGGAGTGGGGAAGAAGGGAGAAGGCATTCCAGAATGCATCGTCTGTACCACGGGATTGAGAAAATGAGGGAAGGGGCTAAAACAGGAGTGAACATGTTGAAAGGATGGCACAGATCAAGAAGCACTATATAAACTGCTTTGTTGAATGACAACTCCTTGGTACAACTGCTGGAAAGTAATACAAAATACCCAAAAAGAAAGAAGCAGTTTCTGGGCTAAGTGGTGCACTGTGTTGGGAAATCTGGAATCATTTCCATGGAAACCTGCCTTAACTTTCAGCCTACTAGCTTCCAGGTGGTCTCTGCACTGGGAAGGTCCACCGGGAAAGGGACAATGCAAGAGCTCGGGACACACTCACTGTCGCTGCAGCCCTCCTCGTCGCTCCCGTCCTTGCAGTCTTCATCTCCATCGCACTGGAAAGCACTGGGGATACACTGTCCGTTTCTGCATTCCACCAGGCCCTGGCTGTGACAGGCTAGGAGAAGCCAGAATAATAGTTACCTGAGTTACTAATCCGTCTTCCAGTCTACGGAATAGAGAAGCGATTCCCACTTCGCAGGCATGAAGCATCATGCACACATGAACACTTGCATCACTGCTTTTTAAAAAAATTCCAGGGGTGGGGCTGGGAAGGTGGCTCAGTGGTAGAGCGCTTGCCTTGCATGCCTGAGGCCCTGGGTTCGATTCCTCAGCACCACATAAGCAAAAAGAAAAAAGCCAGAAGTGGCGCTGTGGCTCAAGTGGTAGAGCGCTAGCCAGGCCCAGAGTTTAGGCCCCACAACCGGACCCCCCCAAAAAAAATTTCCAGGGGTTGTTGAATAGAATATTTCCTCCTAGAACTTTCCCTTTTTTCCAAGAGGACTTACTAAGCTTTCTCTTAACAACAATGTGATTATGTTGGTAGCAATGATATGACCGGCTAGTCAAGGCAGATTGTATACAGGATCTGAAATTCTCACACAACCCAAACATTTCTGTATCTAATCTAATCTAATCTAATGTTGGCTCAGTGAGTGCCTAACACACAGTAAGCACTTTACCCCTAAACTAACTTGAAGAAGATAGTCTGGTACCCACTAACCATCTGACTTCTGTAATGGTTTGAAATTTCTCCCTGCCTAGCCTCTTTTTATACATCAGAAACCCAATATCCCAGGGTTCCCCGTGGCTCATGCCTGTAATCTTAACTACTCAGGAGACTGAGGTCTGAGGATTGAGGCTCAAAACCAGCCTGGGAAGGAAAGTCCATGAGACTCTTATCTCAATTAAGCACCAAAAAAGTCAGAAGTGAAGCGTGGCTCAAGTAGTACAGTACTAGCTTTGAGGGGAAAAAAGGTCCAGGAATAGCACCCAGGCCCTAAATTCAAACTTCAGGACCGGCATGCAGGTGCACATGCCACACACACACACACACACACACACACACACACACACACACACTTATATCTCATTTCACTGAACTGCCACCCAACATTAAGACTTTAGTACTTGAATCGAGACTCAGCGCCAGACCTGTTTTCCCTCACATCATGGCTTTTGCCTTTTTGCTTGCTTCAGGACATCATATAGCTCACTCCATTCTATTTGTTCCTCAGATAAGGACCAAGGTAACTATCTGTTTCAAATTCAACTTGAGACAAGGGAGAGCAAGTACTGTGTTGGTGAAGTGTTCTATCTAACTTTTCTTTTGTGAAAGCTTCAACTGATAACCACATGTTTAAGTTTGCCTCAAATGACAAGCTCACTTAGTTGGCTACCATAGTTGGCTGATCACTTACAGCAGCTGTGGGTTCTACAACCACAGATTCAACCAAGCCCTGATCAAAACAATGTTCAGGGCACACAAAATGGGAAGGGTGAGCAAATACAATCATTACATTCATTGTATGGTATATAAAATTTGAACTATGTAACTTGAGGGTAGGAATGGGAGGGGGAGCATGGGGGAAATGATGGAAGAGGTGGCACTGAACAAAGTGCATTGTGTTTATAACCTGACACGTAGAATTGCAATCTCTTTGTACAATCACTTAATAATGATTTTAAAAGGTTAGGGAAAACAATATGCCTCTACTAAAGAAATAGTTACTCTTTTAAATTATTTCCTACTAGGGGTAGGGAACCTTTTTATGCTAAGGGCCAGTAAGAGATATTTAATGTCACTGTGTGCCATAAGAAATTATTTGTACAGGCAGACAAGTCAGAGGAAACTGACTTTATGTGTCTGTCCAATCAGATAGCATATGAGTTAATGGGTTTTATAAAGCCCACACACCAGATGTTCATACACAATAATTCACTCTAGCAATTATTTTCAACACTGTTTGATAGCATAAGTAATCTAGAGATTAGTTTAAAATATATAATATGATGTGTATAGGATAGAATATGTATATGCAAATATATACAGGATGTGTATATACAAATTGTATTTTATGCCATTTATACATATGGGATATGTCTATGTATATAACCATCAAGCATCTTTAAGTATCCTCTGATTTGGATACCCACCCAGAATCTTAGAATACCCAGCAAATTTCGGGGTAAAATATTATACCTACTCTTTCTACTAGATTAAAAAAGTCTACTAGATTAAAAAAAAGTTAAATGAAATGCTAATTTAAATTTGCATGAAATATGTCAAAGTAACTATTTCAGATCAATCATAGTCTCCTCAATAGATAACTGGAAATATTTAATAATTTTTACTCTTTATAATTAAGAATAACATATTTTCTTTCTTTTTTCTTTTTCTTTCTTTTTTTTTTTATTTTAGTCGATGGGCTTGAACTCTGGGCTTGGGCACTGTCCCTGTGCTCTTCAGCTCAAGGCGAGTGCTCTACCGCTTGAGCCACAGTGCCACTTGCGGTTTTCTAATGGTTTATTGGAGATAAGAGTCTCGCGGACCTTCCTGCCCAGGCTGGCTTTGAACCACGATCCTCAGATCTCAGCCTTCTGAGTAGCTAGGATTACAGGCGTGAGCCACTGACACCCGGGGAATAATATATTTTCTAGAAGGTAAAAAAGTGGTTAATGTTCACACTTGCTACTGGTTTGGTACAAGCAGCAACAAAATTTTTCTCCACTCAGAAACACAATGAGCTAAACAGTAATGATTATCACATACTTTCTGTGTCACAGTAAGAACATTACAGACTCTCTTCTCTCTGGAAATTCTCCCCATATTCTCCCACAAATGTCCCCTGAGGACATGTTTGGAGGTTCCTACAAGGAGTTTAGCTGTTCAGATGTCGTTTGCAGGGGGAAAATAAAGAAAAGAAAAGATACTCTGTTCTCTGGCAAGAGCATTACTTTTGACAAAGACACAGACATATAAAGACATGAACAATGAGTGAAAAAGCAGACATGTACTTGGCCGGATGAATCAAATTAAACTTGGAGTTGAAGGAAAAGACCAATGATGTCATAGACAGTATATACTGATTGTCATTACACCACTGGATCATTGCCCTCCTGACTGTTTGAATGTTGTTTAGGTAGTGAAACTTGAGAACAGTTCTCAAACTCAAGTACAGACTAGACAACAAGAAGTAATGGGGGTAGGGGGAAGCAAAACAAGAATGCTCAGGACACTCACAGCAATTGACCTCATCAGATTTGTCCACGCAGTCATGGTCCCCATCACACACCCAATCCACCGTGATGCAGCGCCCATCCCCACAGCGGTGTTCTTTCGTGGGATGACAATCTGGAGAAAAGGAAAAATGTAGGAAGATGAGTCTAGATAGCACAAAAACCACTTGGAATTGTCAGGCTCCCAGTTCTAGTCAAGAAGAATCAATGCCCATTGTCCCAGTACTCTAGTATCATTCCTGATGGGTCTGACACAAGTAACATGCCACTTTATCAACAAGCATAAACCCATACCATCGTGGGAGATGTTAGCTCAGATGATTAACTATTCAGCCTCGCTTTCCCAGGGCCTCAACTTCGCTCTCATTATGCTGCTTTGCCTTTTCTTAGGCAAAAACAAATGTAGATTTCTGCACTGACTCAAATAAGTAGGATAGTGGTTTGCATTTCACCATGAAGGTAGGTGACAATCAGTTTGTGTCAAGTCATGTTTCCAAGAATTGTGACTTAGCTCTTGGAGCCTGGGAAAGCAAGCGCCTCCTTCTATCCTCTATCCTGAATGCTAAGCCTAGATTTTCTGTTGGACTATGCTAATAGATAACTGCTACTTAAAATCACGACTGGGCAGGCAATATGAAATAGTATCCGTTTCTTGATTCCTTTTGGCCTGGCTTTCAACTCTGTCCCCGTCACTACATTCCCGCAGGGAAAGAAGAGAGAGGAAGAACTAAGCATTGAGTTTCCTCATACAAAATGGCAGAATCCATAGGCTGACATGAGAAACAGAAACAGCCCTTTAAAAGATCTGTGTAGATTCACCAATAAATGAATCAATGAAGAATCATGACTCTTCATGAACAGAGCCACTGTCCTAGACTCTGCAGAGGCCAGAGAGCTTCAAGGGTATTTTGGAGCACAAATGGTATCCCCACCTGATGAAGAAAGTAGCCACCTTGAGAACACAGACTTGGTTGCACTCTCAAAGGCTTGACGTTGAGTGACAAGACAATTCTTTTCACACACTAACCTACCTTGGCTCTTTCTACTAACCTATGAAGCTGCAAAGCTATACTCATGGCAGGAGGTTTCTGGATTTCCTAAGTTATCTCACTGCAAAAAGGAGTGTGTGCTGGGTGATCTCAAAAGCCTCCTAAAATGATGGAGTAGATGACTTATAGAATTTTACAATTCTCTCTCATATCTTGCCCAAGTTTAGTCCATCCCAGAAGAGAATCAGATCTGTCTAGTCTAAGATGCTTTGTATAACCCATGTACTTTTCCATATTTCTGAAATAACTGAAACTACCAACTATCTCAAGATGAGACTATTTGTGACCCTCACCACCCCAAGACTTCCCTCGGAAGCCTCTAAGGTCAGATTCAGTCTAACAACATTTTCCCAGTGTCCATCCTCATCCCAGTTTGTCTATTTGTTCCTCTGGCAACATTCCTATTATCAGTCAATAATATAGCTCCAAAAATGACCAACCTAGTCATAAATCCAAAAGATCAATAGGAAAGAGTAATCTTTGCTAGTTTAAGTTCACAAGATGGTCTTTGTAGTTGAGCATGGTTCTTTAAAAGATAGGCTTATTCTTTGAAAGCTAAGAAGTCAGCATTTATTTGTACATAAAAGTACGTCTTCATGGCCTTAGGTCTAGCTAATGTACAAGCAGTCCCTGTAGTACTTGGGAATCAAATACAGGAGGGATCTTTGGTGTATAACACTTCATAATGAATGTATCTTTTGGCAAAGTTTTGCTCAAGGTTTCAGAATTCCCCCAATCCACTGGCTCTAGAGAGAGGGGAAACAGAACACAGACCCAGAGAAAGAACATTCAGCACAAGTTTTACCCATCATTCCACTCCTCTTCCTTTTAACATTGTCCTAATAGGACTGTTTATGTGGGTGGTGCTTCAACACATAACTTCTGATGGACACAATGCTTCAACAAACTTCTTCCTTCTGAAGAATAAGAGACCCTCACCTGTTGTAAGTTTACCTGCGGATCCTATTTACCAAGAGTGAGCTACAGGCTCTGAACTTCTGTGATGTTTAACGAATCTCCAAGAGAACAGTGCTTGGACTCACCACAGTTCTCCTCGTCACTCAGGTCTCCACAGTCATCATATCCGTCACACAAAAGGCTGGTGTGAAGGCACTTGCCTGTGTGACAGTGGAACAGGTCTTCACTGCAGTCTGCAAATAAGAGAAGCTCCCAGTGAGGCACCAGAGCAGTGCTGAACTGACAGTGGTATTTTATTTCACAAAAGGCTACGATGGTCACCCAGTCCACCCCTATTGGTTTATAGGCCAAGTGACCAAAAATCCAAGGACTTGCTCAAGGTCACTTAACAAGTCACTGCAGAACCAAAGCTAAGACACCCTGCTCCCAAGCCTCACACTTCTATGGCTTTTTTGGAAGATTTTTTTTTTAACTTTCATTGTCAGGGTGATGTCCAGAGGGGTTATAGTTACATAAGTAAGGTAATGAGTACATTTCTTGTCAAACTTGTTACCCCTTCCCTCATTTTTTTCCTACTTTCCCTCCCCCACCCCTCAACCCCAAGTTGTACAGATCATTTCCAACATATTGTCTTGTGACTATCGCTGTCGCATTGTTTTCCCCCTTGTCCTCTGTCTCTCCATTCTGTTGTTCCCCTTCCCTTCCCTGATTCAAATAAACATATATACAATACCAAGGGACTAGAATAAAATACAGTAACACTGGGGGATATACCATAGGGGGAAGAACATACAAAAGAAACAAGAAATTACATAGTACAATAAAAACAACCACAAAGAAAAACCACTTGAGTCTATGTCTTGGAGTAAGCCAGACCCAAAGAAACAGGTCCCATAGTCTCCCTTTTTTGCAATAATTAGTATACATCTAGGATAATCTTAGCAGATGAGCAGAATAGCTCAATAGCTATGTACATATAACCATATAAGATGGCACTAAGTGAAATGAACTTCTGGAATTTTTTATTTGCCTTTTGCTTTGGGTTGTCTCAAAATTGTGGATAGTCAAAGATGGGAAGAGATAATCTCGGTGCACCACAGCTCCTAGTGAAGTTCATGTGACTTTAATGGAAGGTAATTCTTCCCTAAACATGCTTTCTTTGGGTGTAAGTTTAAGTTGGTGTCACAGTAAGCATGAAGCTAATAGAGAAATAAGCCATCTGGATTATAAAGCTATCACTCCTTTTTCACTACTTAAGATACTTGAGTATTCCATATAATAATACTCAAATAAGCTAGTACTGGCCTAAGGTTATGGTGGCAAGAATAAATGCTACATAATGCTGAGAAATTTATTTAATGTTGAAATCAGGTATATATGTGGAAACAGTATTTGTATTTTCATGAGTACATAAAGTCTTCTTGTCTTTGGATAGACTCAAACTCCTATCCTGGTTCTGATACCTGCTAACTATGGGACTTCTAATGTGATGCTTCAACTCTACGAGATTTCAAGCTGACTTATGAAATTGGGATAAAGCAGCCACTAAGTAGGGTTTGGGATAATAAAATATATGTGAGATTCTAAGGCAATTCACTAAGAAAAGAATGTTTTTATCAACCTATGGTGTCGGCACAATTTGATAGCAAATGAGAAAATGAATTCAGATATTCACTTCAAATGAAGCTAAAACATTAACTCAACATGGATCAGAAAGTTAAATGTAGGAGGGCAAATCACAAAGTTGCTAGAAGAAAAGAGGGAAAAGTGTTTGTGACTTTGGAGTAGGCAAAGAATTCTTAGATTCCTGGAGTGTAAGCAATTCAAAAGGCATGATTAAGAAAATGAAAAGGCAAGCCATGTAGAGCAAAGATAATTGTAAGGTATATATTGAAGAATATATGTCAAGGGTATATATAGAACTGTAACACTCATAAGATGACAACCCAATTACTAGTGGGCAAAAGAACAGATAGAAAGCCTATGTACTCTAGCCTTGAGCAAAAGAAGCTCAGGGACAGTGCCCAGGCCCTGAGTTCAAGCCCCAGGACTGGCCAAAAAGAAAAAAAAGATAAAGTTAAACCACTATAGAACACTATCACACATACTGTAAATGGCTGTAACCAAAAAGGCAAAAAAAGGTGGTAGCAAGCACTAGCAAGGACTTTGAGAAATTGAAACTCTAACTTATGGCTGATAGGAACAGAAAACAGCGCCAGGGCGTCACTGTGGAAAACAGCTTGACGGCTTCTTGGGGTGGCAGCCGTAGTCTGGTGTAAAATGAACTCATGAAGTCTGTTCTTGAGAGCCCATTCAAACGAAATTAAATATGTAACCACACAAAGATCTGTAGATGAATGCTCATAGCAACATTACTCATAATCATCGAAAACTGGAAAAAATCCAAATGTCCACGAAATGATGAATGGAAAGCCAAATGTAATATAGACATACAATGGAACACTGTCCAGAGATTACAAAAATAAATTATTGATGTTTATGAGGATATTACTGAGCCTCAAAAAATATTAGACAAAGTGAAGGACTACAGATGTTCCCTTATACACATTTTGTCACATGCAAAAATGGCATGTTATATGGTTCATTTATGAACTTCTCAGAAAAAGTACATTTATAGAGAGAGAATACAGAAGAGTACTAATGGAATCGAGATGGATTAAGAGTCACAGCTGACAGAATGGGTGGGAGGGAAGTTTGGAAGGAGATGAACATGTTTTATCACTGGACTGTGATGACTTCTATGCAATTTTGTAATTGTTTTCAAAAAGTCATTACGGTGATGATTATCTCTTCTGTATTTAAAGTAGATAAAGTATCAAAATAACTGTGTAAAGCTGGAGAAGGACCACGTAGATGGGCAGAATTTCAGTGCAGTGGTAGTGTAATGAAATGTTTAGCATGTGTGAACTTGAAAGAAGACAGAATAGCAAGAACTAAGCAAGATAAGAAATGCAGGCACCTTTGAAGATCAGCTACCTTGGCTGATGAGTATCAGAAGTTGACAATAGTGCAGTCTTCTGAGATCTAGCTGACTGTTTATTGTCCTGTGTCTCATACAACTGGAGATGAGGGAGGCGAGCACCTTACAACCACAAACATCCCAAACTGAATGACCAGCCATTATCAAGTCTTTCACATCTATTTCCCAATCTCTTCTAAGCTCTATGGAGCAGGACAGTAAGGTGATGACAGTTTACAACAACCTTGTATGTGCTTGATGAAGAATTGGAAAACTACAAGCACCAAGAAATGCTTTTGAAATGGAATAATTACTCTGACTTGATCATTGTATACTGTATGTATACAGTGAATTATCACACTGTATTTTATAAATATGCTCAATTTTAAAAACCATTGGGATTAGTTAGTTGGGTCATAAGTGTCCATTTCCAAAAAGGATTCTTCTAAAAAGAATTATCTTTCCAACTTTTAGAGTCTCATCATTTTAGAAAAGGATGTACCTTAGAGGTCAAGTATACACATAAGCACATACATGTATGCATATATGTTCATACTTATAGAGAACTTGATAAAATCTTTTATTTATTAATGTTTATGAGGATGGCTATCAGAAGGAAAATCAAGAACTAATTTCCTTCTCATCAGCAGAGGGCGCCCTTTCCCCACCCTGCACCCCACTACAGACGTGTGTACGACCACTGGAGTCAGAAAGGTTAAGACACTGTTTTTCATTTCCACTGGACAGATTTAGAGAATATGTACATTGAGGTATATACATTTCCTTGAACATTTTTAAGAAGTTTAAAAAAGTTGTCTTGTTTTCACCTAAATTGCACCATGGGAGTTTGAATCAAGATACTATAATCAGAGAAATAAGACTTTTCTGACTATCAATTTTGCAAAAGCACATGCATTTTCCCAAGGAGATAGAGAAAGGGTAAAGTTTGGAATCATGAGTTAATTTCTTTTTAAGCAGGGAAGTTTCCTTTCTTTTCCTATTTCTTTGGGATTATTAAAGAATCAAACATTCCTTTCAGAATCTGATTAACCTGAGAATACACCAAAATTTTCCAAAACTTTCTGAGTCTTCTGTGAGGCCCATTGTGGACTGTGGTAATTCATATTAGAACACCTCATTGGAGATATTTTAAGATGAATACCATCATTTATTAGATTCAGGTGACTTCACATTTTTCAAAAGTTCTTACTGTTCAAACAGGTGTAGATTTAATTTTCGACTGTTAGAACTTCCTTGGTTAGAAGACACTTTCATAAGTTCGTTATAACATTAGCTGTTTTTGGCCAACAACTTTTTACTTCCCTAAAGTCGGTATAAATAGTAAATGCTCAACACTCTAACCAACATTACTGCACAACCAGAAATACATGGCAAATAGCAAAGATCACACTGCTTCTTTTTATTGGAACGGATGTTTATTTGAACTAAAAAAGAGATGTGGTCAACACAATTTGGAGCCAACAAATCAGAATTTTGAAAAGGAGCCTGCTGCGATTTTCTTGCTCAATACAAGCATAACTTTTCATGACCTAAGACAGATGTTTTTTCTACCTATGGTCCTTTTTTTTTTTTCTTAAGGAAAGCTTAATAAGAATCATTTCTTCTGAAGTTCTTCCAAGGTAATATTTATTTCAGTTTGGCATCTCATAGACAAGACTATTAACTTTTGCCCTTCAAAATTAACCTTTAATTAAAGCTGAAATCTAAGACACAAAAAGCTCCTTTATATCAAGGACTTCATTCAATTTTCTCAGTCTCTATGAGTCCATACACAAACATAGGCTGCTTTAACTCAAGAGGTAAGAATGGCAGCTCAACTTTCTTCCATAGAATGTCATGCGTGGGACCAAAGCTGATCTCATCTAACCCTCTCACCGGACAATTACCAGAGAGGCTAAAAGATTTTCCCATCATTGTCTAGCAGCAAAGCTGTCACGAAAGGCCAGGTTTCCTGATCCCCTGGTTCTTTCTGCAATTGGCTCTAACACTGGAGAAGAATCTCTCAACTACCATATTATTGAGAAGATGGGTGGAATAATTCTTTATTGGATGGGGATGGCTGAACAGCATCCTGGGGTCCTACCTACTGGACATCTATAGCATCTTCTCTCTTTAGTGTAGCATCCACATTTTTTCCATGAATTGCAAAATGTACCCTAGAGGATTTAAAAGCACTGTTCTAGTCACCTGATGTCACGTGAAAGCAAGGGCTGCTTTTAATTCCATCTTTTC